GGAGAAATGTGGCATCAGGATTGGTGGAAGATCTATCAACAATCTGTGTTATGCGGATGACACAACTCTGTTGAAACTGAGGAGGACCTAGAAGTGCTTGCTGTAGAGAGTCAAGGACTGCAACCTTCAATATGGATTGAGGCTCAATGTCAAGAATACAAAGATTCTCACCATTGGGTCAATTGGCAGCATCAAGATGGATGGTGAAGAGATTGAGATTGTTCAGTTTTAGTTTGCTTGACTCCACGGTCAACACTCTTGGCACCAGCAGCCAGGAATTAAAAGATGTACTGCAATGGGAAACTCTGCTGTTAGGGACCTCTCCATAGTACTGGTGAGCAATGGTGTCTCTCTGGAGACTAATGTGAGACTGACACAGGCCATGGTCTTTGCAATCACTTGTTATGCATCAGTGAGTTGGACAATGACTAGGGAGAATATAAGGAGAATTGATGCCTTTGAGCTATGATGCTGGAGAAGAGTATGGAGTGTACCAAGAACTGCTAAGAAAACAAACAGATTCATCCTTGAGAGGGTTAAACCAGGCTGCTCCTTGGAGACAAAGATTCTGAGGCTTAGTCTGACATACTTTGGACATGTTGTAAGGAGGGACCAGTCCTTGGAGAGGGACGTCATGCTTGGGAGGGTGGAGGGACAGTGCAGGAGGGGAAGACCCTCTATGATTTGGATTGATTCTGGGGTAATAGGGATGAGTGTATTGGAGACAGTGCCATTGGCACAGGACAGAGCAGAGTTTAAGGCTGTTGTACATAGGGTCACTATGAATCACAAGCGACTTGATGGCACATAAGAACATTCCCATTTTACAGGTGCAGGAACTTAGCTAAAATAAGTGAGGTGATTTGTGAAAAGTTATGTAGCCAGTATGTGAAATACCAGGCTTCAAAACAACTGACTTCAAAATCTGACCTCTCCTCTATATAACTTAACCATTGTGCATTATATATAATATCTTTAGACAAGTTCATTTATATTTTTCTTCCATTATTCATAAAGCATAAAGTAGGGAGCACTAGTGGTCTAGTGGGTAAAGAACTGCATTGACAACCCAAAAGCTAGAGGTTTTAATTCACCTGATGCCTCATGGGAGAAAGATGGACAATCTCCTGCTGGGTGATTTATAGCCTCTGTAAACCTACCTGTTGTAGGGTCTGCTATGAATGGCTTCTGACAGGAAAGTGCATTATAACAACAACATTCATAAAGTACTTTGAATGACTAATGAATAAAACTCAAGTAGCCTGAGATATTAAACAATCAAAAGATTTTCCTCAAACATCTGAGGTTGTTAACAATTGCAGCTTGCTTGTAACCACCATCAAAACTCTAGGCACTAGCAGATAGGAAATCCAAAGACAAATTGCACTGGGAAAAATCTCCTGTCAGGGGCCTTTCCTAAGTGCTGAAAAGCAATGATGTCAGTCTAGAGACTAAGGTGCACCTAATCCAGGCCATGGTCTTCACAATTACTTGTTATGCTTTAGAAAGCTGGATAATGACTAAGGATGACAGAAGAAGAATCAATGCTTTCAAATTGTGGTGCTAGAGAACAGTCTTGAACATACGGTCAACTGTCAAGAAAACAAATAGGTCTGTCTTGGAGAGGGTGAAACCAAGTTTCTCCTTGGAGGCTAGGATTTTGAAGCTCCACCTCATATACTTTGGGCATGTGGCCAGGAGAGACAGGTCCTTGGAGAAGGACATCATGATTGGATATGTGGACAGTCAGTGCAGGAGAGGAAGACTCCAGAGGAGATGGATTGATACAGTAACTGGGGCAATGGGGGTTGGTGTGTCAGAACTAATGAGACTGGCTCAGGACAGGGCTAGGTTCAGAGCTGCTGTAAAAATGGTTGCTATAGGTCAGAGGCAACTCAACGGCACATAACAACAACAACTTACATATCTAGACAAGTCAATACTATTCTGCATACTGAGTCACCATTTTGTACTCTACATCTTGAAATTAAATTCATTTGTATTATATGATAAACTATTTATTAATTGCATATATTAAAGAGGAGACAATACTCTTTATAAACTGAAGATGCATGCTTGCTTAAAGAATAGCTCTCTCAAACACATTTTGCATTAAATGGACAATCCAACCTAAACAGTCTTCTTATGAAGATACAATGTAAAAGTTTCATAATCAGAATTAATCATCCTGTGCTGACAAAAAGAATGATTTGTGAATACTTACACACAGTTCATTTTATAAATAAGTAATATGTAATGTTACTGAGGTGCTAACAACTTCACAGAATTTATGAGTGGTGTATCACCAGCTAGCTACATGTACTGACTTTTAGATTTTATGAAGAATGGTCCAATAAGCTACATCCTTCAGTTTTCTTATTTTGTGCCTGGTTAAATTAACTAATGTAGATCTCAACTACATTGAATTACCATAACACTTAAACATTTATGTTTCCTTCACTGGCTATAAAGAATTTTCACATTTTAAACATAATACATTATTAGTAACTGTGTATATTAAAACTAGATTGAAAATGAAAAATCATACTTATTTAATTATCAAAATTATCATAAATTAGAATCATACATCAAAATACTAATTCTATTCTATGTGGCTGGAAATGCATGCATATGTAATATTTAGATTTAACCACACTTTAACAGCTTTCATAGAACTAGATAATTTACAAAACAAGTATTACTGTATTTAAGTTTACTTCAGGTATATAGAGCTAACATCCTACATGAATAATCTCTTCTTTTGAATAGGTTTAATTTTTCTTTGTTTTATTGCTAAGAAAATTTTCCCAAGTTACTAACTACAAAAATGTTGAACTATCAACAGTGATGCAAATACAGTCTTAAAAAAATGAAGGTTTTTATAATTTAAAAGTTTTCTTTAAAATGGCATATTTCCCCAATATAAATTAATATAGGAAACTTAATATAGAACATATATATGGATAAAAAATATCTGGAATTTTATTAGCTTTATATCTCCTCTAAGGAGATCTACAGATGTCTGGAGAACATTTGAAGTTCATGATCATTCTCAATTATATCTCATATTTGTTTTTTGAAAAAATAAGACAATTTTATTAAACAGGTGAAAAGCCATGTGGAGAAAATTCTGTCTTTCTTCCCCAATTTTGTCTCATATCATAAACATTAGAAAACTATCCAGAGAGACATAAGAAACAAAACAATTCCTAAAGAAAAGGCTAGTGATTTCTTTATAGGATCCACAGGATAAAGAAATTAGGATCCTTAAAAAATCATTCCACATTCCTTGCAAATCAATCTGTTCCAAGGGAAACCAAACCTGAAAACACATTCAAGTTTACTTCCCATAAAAGAATTTATTTAGCTCTACAATGGAATTTATAGCTTCCAAAATAATGAAGGAAATAATAAAATTCTTAAAGCTCTGTCTCACATACTTTGGGCACAGGGCCAGAAAGGACCAGTCCTTGGAGAAGGACATCATGCTCAGAAAAGCGGAGGGACAGCACTGGAGAGGAGGACCCTAGATGAGATAGATTGACATGGTAACTGGAGCAATGACATTAGATGTGTCAGAATCAGTGAGACTGGGTCACGATAGGGCAGGGTTCAGAGATACTGTACATAGGGTCGCTATGAGTCGTGGGTGACTCAGCATATAACAACAACAACAACAACAATTAAACTTTTGTAACAACAGGAGCTACTTGCAGAACCCAATTTTCAATTTAAAGTATCAATTAATGATAAGAACTTACCACCTCCATTCTTCTGACATAGGTATGGGAATCGCCAAACATTCCCTAAACCTACAGAAAATCCAACTTGGGCCAGTATGTATTGTAGTTTACTGTTCCAAGCTGGTCTTTCATCTTCAACTTCAGATCCTTCTTCAACATCAACATCTTTATCATCTTGAACATCAACAATTAGTTCACTCTTCTTAAAAGCTTCATCAGCTGAGTCTTCATGAGAAAGAAGATCTTTGACCGATTCAATAACTTCATCATCTAGTTCTCTTTTCACCACCTTGCTATTCTTAGGCATTTGAAAGTCTGGATAATATTTTTTTTTAACCTCCTTAGTGCAAATAAGGTAATTAATTTTTTAAACTGTGACTAGGTAATACATAAACACCAAGGAGAATATTAAAGAAATCTTTGATTAAAAGTGATAAAGTTGTGAGGCTCCTGGATCTCTAGGTTCAATATTTTGTAAGTGCCTGTAAAATAAAGTTGAAATGTTATAAATATGAAATGAAAAAAGTTAATGTCAAATCACTCTTTCCTTTATTTTGTTTATTTATGTTTGATTTCTTATCCTTTATTCAGAGACAAGCCAAATATAAAAGTTATGTCCATAGACCAATGAGATTTTTTTTTAATTTAAAATGTAGGCAACTAAGAACGCAAAATGTGTCTCTTCAAAGATGGGTCAAAAGGCTTTAAGTAGAATATTCCATGCCTTCCTCCATTTCTACCAAAACAACAACTACAACAACAAAAAACCCCAAAACTAGACTTTTCTGATAAAATTTTCATTAGATATACATTATGAATCACAGAAAGGAGCCAATTGTACTTCTAACTTGTAAGTATAATAGATGAATCCATATAGAGAGAAACCAGGGTGGTTTATTTTTTCCTTTTAAAATATTCTTTATCTAGACCATGTAACTTAGTCTTTACTTTTAAATTTGAATGAATAGAAGAAAGGGGAAAATATTGTAACAGTTTTTGAAAATAATATTCTACATTTGCTTAGTTACATTCTCCCTTCTTGAAATTTAATCTTGAAAAGAATAATGAAGAAATAAAAAGGTTGGCATATCACTCAAGTCCTTAAAGGCATTATGCCAAGCTGTAATTGCTACCGTAGTCATGGATTCTGGTCACTTGGTTTTCAAAATTACTTTCATTCTTGCCCTTTACTCACTCATTGCCCAGCACCCATTGTTACAGAGAACATAAGGGACTTAGCTAATAATTTCGTTTTGCATGTCAGCCACAGTTAGGTTTTAAAGCTCGCAAACAAATAATCTAACTATATATAATAAAAAAATTATAAATAATTATATTTCTTTTCAATTATCTGTAAGTATATACGCATAAATAAATACATAGAAAAATTCAGGAATTGTTATAATATTTAAATATGGAATTATGTTTACTTCCCCCCATATTCCCATTTCTGTATTACTTTGTTTTATAAGTATTTGGCAATATTCTTTTTCAGAATAAAGCTATTCTAAAACATTTTTAAATCAACACAATAAATTCCTAATTCAGTCATTCTCAACTCTAATAATTTTTTACTTCAAAGTGGTTTTTAACCGTTCTTTAATAAGAATGTTGCATCTATTTAAAGTCTCTAATATTAATTCTTAAATCAATGGATCAACTTTTAAAAACAAAGCCAAACATGACCCAGTCATCTAGGATTTAGAATGGAGTGAACTGATTCTATAAAGCTTAGAGGACAGTAACTTCTTTAAAAATCTACTACATTTATATATTTCCCCATCTCTTTCTTTCAACAATGTTTCATATTTCAATATAGAGGTCTGTCTATCTTCTGTGAAATCATTTATGGGATTTTTCTATTTATATTACTTTCTATTTAATTGTGTGAATTGTCCTTGCTGGGATATGTAATAAATTTTACCTAATGCAGATTTCTGCTAAAGAGCTCATTAGGATGATACAGGATAGGGCAAGATTTCAGATCTGTTGTTCAGAGGGTCACTATAAGTCATAGCTCACTAAACATCACCTAACAGTAACACCAACAATAAAGGCATTCTGTTCTGAAGTATTGCAATATTCAAGTTTTAGTTTTCTATAATTATCTCAAAAATTTCTACAACTAAGATGACATCATCTGTAAATGCAGTTTAACCACTACTTTTCTCAATTGTTTAGCTTTATTTTTCTTGATTTATCATACTGGCTAAACCAACCAATATAATATCGGTTGAAAGTGTCAAATGAAGACATTCAGCTCTTGATATTGCTGAGAAAGACTTAAATAACTCACTTTTGGAATAATGGTACCAATAGATTTCCCCCACCCCATATTGATGCCTCATATTGCTTTAAATAAGTCTCTGTTATTCCTAATGTTTTTTAAAAAACACACTACTTTCAATTTTGACAAATAATTTGTTCACCTTTATTAACATTATCATCCCTGTACTTACTAATCTGTTTAACATAGAGTATAACCCTGCTTGCTAAAACTGAAGAGGACCTGAAGCACCTGCTGCAGAGGGTCAAGGATGGCGGCCTACAATATGGATTGAGGCTCAATGTCAAGAAGACAAAGATTCTCCACACTAGACCAATTGGCAGCATCAGGACAGTTGGTGAAGAGATTGAGATTGTTCACAGCTTTAGTTTGCTTGGCTCCACAGTCAACACTCTTGGAACCAGTAGCCAGGAAATTAAAAGGCGCATTGCCATGGGAAAGTCTGCTGTTAGGGACCTCTCCAAAGTACTGAAGAGCAATGGTGTCTCTTTGGAGACTAAGGTGCGTCTGATATAGGCCATGGTCTTCGCAATCACTTGTTATACATCAGAGACTAGGACAATGACCAAGGAGGATAGAAGGAGAATTGATGCCTTTGAGCTGTGGTGCTGGAGAAGAGTACTGAGAGTACCATGGACTGCTAGGAAAACAGACAGATTCATCCTGAAAAGGGTTAAACCAGGTGGCTCCTTGGAGGCAAGGATTCTGAGGCTCTGTCTTACATACTTTGGACATGTTGTGAGGAGAGAGCAGTCCTTGGAGAAGAACATCATGCTTGGGAGGGTGGAGGGACAGTGCAGGAGGGGAAGGCCCTCTATGAGTTGGATTGATTCAGTGACTGGAATAATTGGGATGGGAGTGTCAGAGAAAGTGCAATTGGCACAGGACAGAGCAGAGTTTAGGGCTGTTGTACATAGGGTCGCTGTGAGTCACAAGAGACTCGACGGCATATAACAACAACAAAAAATATATAAATTGGTTTTATATATTAAATCAATCTTTCATTTGTTGTACATTTCTCACTTGATCAAGAAATAATTGTTATAGTTCAAAATCATAGCTACATTTATGTTAAACAAAACAAAAGGACAGCTCAACCCTACTTTTACTACACATTGATTACAACAGGCTCAAGCCTAAATTGTGAAAGTGATATAATAAATGATAAAAATCTTATATTAAGTAACCATTAGTCAAAATAATGAAAGAATGGTTTAAAATGTCAAATACTGAAAATGTCCAGAAATAGGAAACACATTATACAATGAGAAAAGTATTCATTAAGCAAGACATAAAATCTATATTCTCCAAACATCAGAGATTCAAAATGTATGAAGAAAAATCAGATATGGCTGTAAAGAGAAAAGAGGCTGTTAGACACCGTCAAGTCAAAACTGAATTGCATGGAAGGAGACTGCCCATTTCTCACACAGAGTAGCTGGTGGATATAAACTACATACCTTTGAGTCAGCAGGGCAACTCCTTACCACTGTGCCACTGGAGCTCCCTATAAAGACAAACACACAAATAAAAAATTACAAGTGTAGACTGTAATAATATTTTAGTTATCTAGTGTTACTATAAATTTGAATATAAGGAGTGATGGCTTTAAAAGTTGAAATATATTCTTCCACAGTTGAAGTGACTAAAAAGCAGAATTCTGGATGAGAGCTCTAGGAGAAGGCTGTACTTGTAACTCCAGGAGAAAAATTCTTGTCTTTTTTTAGCTTTTCTTGTTCAGTTCCACGGTGATATTCATATAGTATTAATTTTCTCCCCTTTGTGTTTCCTGATTCTGTGCCACATCTGTTTCTTCTAGATCTCACAAATAACTCCCTTACTTATACCGTTAAATGAGAGATGTTATTTGTTGTTAGGTGCCATAAAGCGGATGATGACTCACAGCGACTCTATGATGGAAACGGTGCTCTAACCTGCACTTCATCACCTCCATGCTGCTCAAGAGCTGGTTGTTGTAGTCACTGTATCACTTCATCTCTTTAAGTCAAGATTCATCTAATACAAGCAATGATCTCTCAAGTTCCACAGCCTCTTCTAAATCCAGCTTGAAATATGATAGCTTGCTACTGCTGTACTGTTCTACCTGTTTTTGAATAATATTCACCAAGATTTTTCTTAACCTAAAGTAATTCAACAGAGTGTGGAAAATATCGAACAGTATCTTTGATATCACAAGCAAGCAAGAGTCTGCTGAAGATAATCCAAAAACAATTGGAACAGCACCTCAACAGAGAACTTCCTGAATTGCAGGCTGGGTTTAGAAGAGGCTGTGGTACTAGGGATATTATAGCTAATGTCAGATGGATCTTGGCTGAAAGCAGGGAGCACCAGAGGAATGTCTGTGATTCATTGACTGTGCAAAGACATTTGACTGTGTAGATCATAAGAAACTGTGGCTGACACAGTGAATAGGAATCCCAGAACACTTGACTCTGCTTATGTAAAACCTATACTTGGACAAGGAGGCAGTCATCAGAACAGAACAAGGAAACACTGCATGGTTCAAAATTGGGAAGGATGTGCACCAAGGATGTGTCCTATCTCCATCTATACTCAATCTAGTAGTGTTATTGTTGTTGTTACGTGCCATTGAGCCACCTGTGACTCATAGCAACTGTATGTGCAACAGCCCTAAACCCTGCTCTGCCAATCTCACTATCTCTGACATACTTACACCCATTACCCCAGTCACTGAATTATCCATCTTATAGAGTGTCTTGCTCTCCTGCTATGTCCCTCCACTCTCCCAAGCATGATGTCTCTCTCCAAGGACTGGTTCCACCTTGTAACACGTCCAAAGTATGTCAGAAGAAGCTTCAGAATCCTTGCCTCCAAGGAGCAGCCTGGTATAACCCTCTGCAGGATTAACATATTGGTTCTCTTAGCAGTCCATGGTATATTAATACTCTTTTCCAGCACCACAACTCAAAGGTATCAATTCTCCTTCTATCATCCCAGTGGAAAAGATTATCTGGGAGGCTGGCGTCTATGAGGAGAAATGTAGCATAAGGATTGGAAGCAGACTCATCAACAACCTGCATTAAACAGATGACACAACCTTGCTTGCTGAAACTGAGGAAGATTTGAAGCACTTGCAACAGACGTTCAAGGACTACAGCCTTCAGTATGGATTGAAGTTCAACATAAAGAAAAGAAAAAAGATTCTCACCACCG